TGTTTTAATATCTTGGAGCTGCACGATATAAAAAGGAACCGTCTTGTGAGACAGGATGCGTCGCCTATGGACGGCATCTCGTATGTTGAGCCGTGGCTATGCGAGCTTTAGTGAGGCCGCGTGAGCCGACACAGGACGAAGGAGGCAGTAGTTAAAGTACTCGGCGCGTGGAAGGCAAAGGATGTCTACGTGACAGAGTTGGCTGAAAGAGAACGAAGAAAGATCTAAAAAAAAGCCAAAGGACTGAAAGGGAGACGAGTCACAGCGTGCAGGCCAAAAAAAGGACACAATACTGACCCGTCTCAGCATTGCAGAGACGCACATATTAAAACCCAGCCGCCCCAATTTTGGCATGTCTTTCTCACCAGTATAACCTCTCTCCCTCTCCCTCTCTCTCCATGAATGTACGGAGTATCTCTCACTATGATCATCCCCCTATGTCCACCTGTTCATGTCTGAGGCGCTGCCATGTGAAGGTCATATATTCCCAGCACTCTGATTGGACACGACAGGCCCACCTATAACCATTAACACGGCCTGCTAATATTGCTTGGCTGTCTATTTCTGAAATCGGCTTCAGCGTTTCCCTCCTCCTGTCATTTTTCTTGTTCTCTTGCTATAGCTTTGTCTCTGCCCCTGTTGCCGTCCACTGGAAACTGGGCAGACCCATCAACCTGAGGACGATCATATTCATGCTCTGTCACGAGTGGCTGGGGGGCTGGTCATCCCCATCTTAAGTTGCGGCAGCCACCCGAGCCACCCTTACCCCAGAATATTTCGTGCCTCCCATGACACGTCGCAGCGTCGCTTTTTGGAGTAGATTGGGGAAAAGCGAGGGGGAAAGGCTGATCGGCATGCGACCAAAGGCTCGACGTCCCGTGTTCCGGAAGAGGCCCATTTGTCTGCTTCTGCGGTGTCTGTACCTTTATGCGCTTGCCCGACGTGCGCGTGGCCCTTAATCTCTGCCATCCACAAAATCAGAATCAAGATGGGACACAACCTCGACAAGCGGCGTGTTGCTATGGTGTTGCTATTTATCGACGTCATAACTATCGTCGCGCACACTGCCGCTTGCAGCAGGTGCGACCAACAGACCGAGGATGACAAAATGGGACAGCAGCACCAACCGCCACAGTCCTAAAAAGGCAACAATTCCCCCACTAGTAGTAGAAGGAGCCAACGGCTGGATGTCCGGAGAACTAGGCAGGGGGCTTCCCTTTGGCTGCAAGGCAAGTGCTACCCTCACAAGTTGAGCCTGGCCATACCGGATTTGTTTTCTTGGCCCCTTTTGGATTCGACGTCGTGGGAACATCAAAACGACACTCACTCACGCCTCGCCGCAACAACCAGCGACCAGTCCCGTCCTCATCGCCCAAAAGAAGCTCCCCAAAGATGCCGCTTTTTCTCTCCTCACATGACTGGATCCGGCATATGAGATTGATGGCATGTGATGTCAGGGCTAAAAAAGAGAGAAAAAAAAAGGAGAAGAAAACAAAAGAACAAGAAAAGCTTCAAGTTGCGCCGATTTACCAACCCGTCGATCTGTAATCACATCGTCGTTCTTGTTTCGTCTCTTCTCGCCGTCCTTTTACTTCGGGCGCGTGCGAGGCCCGTCTGCCCACGATGCCCGAGTTAATTTAACAAAGTCCCGACAAGTCGCCGCGCCGGCCACTCACAGACAGCTGCTCGACCGCGTCGAGTTTTTGTTACATGAAGAGAGGGAGACTAGGAGAAGAGGAGGCTGGAAATGTGGAAATGCGCCCCTGGCAGGTTTGCTTTTGTGCGGTCTTATTAATATAGCCTGCCATGGCCTCCCTGACATTTTCGCAGCAGCCATTATGATATTGACCAACTTTACAACCTATCATAATGCGACGGCAGCCAAAGAAAACGCTCGAGCTATGTGACTAGACAAACCATCGATCGACTCGCCTCACCGACAGCCGCGGCCAGACGGCCAGTTGCCCAAGGATGACCCTGGGAATTGATTTTACGGTTCTCACTTGCAATCAGCCGGCCGGATCAACTAACTCATTCTGGATGAAGAATATTGCGAGAGGTAGCTGCGATATACTTGGAGTTGAACAGCTACTTGCATAAGACTACTATTCGTACATTGGGGCGCTAATGCCATTGAACCTGCACACAACAGACAGAAAGCCGTATAGCATGGACCCTCTCATTGATTGCTTAACTACACAAAGTCCCTTGAGCCGCCGCGTCTCGCCCGATATACCCACCCTGTATCAACTTACACAACGCGCGGCGTATGTTCACAACCTTAATTAGACAAGATATGCTATGCTCTGTAACGTCACGTCTTGTTTAAAAACACAAAAGGTAAGAAAGGTTCAGAAATAGGTCAGAAATAGAACGACATACGTTATCTGGATAGCTCGAGAACTTGACTTGTCAATTGCCAACAACAGACTCTTGTTTGGACATTTCAGCCAGAGATTTGAAAAGAAGTGATCCTATTTGTATTTTAACCCATTTAATCCACGCAATGCCTTTGACTTTGCGGTATAAATAAGCACCACACACAAAAAACCGGCTGTAACCTATCAATGTGAATGAAGTCGAATCTGACGGTTTCCATGACAGACTAGACCAGGGTGAAGGAAGCGGACTGCGGTGAGAGCCGAGAAAGGTCCCATACAGTCGTTGTCATTTCACCTTGCCAGGCAAGACTCTTCGCCTCCTCACTCTCATACAGGCATATCGGGACACGCCTCCGGTCGTGCCTGGCCATAGAAGCCACACGATATCGCAATTACGCATGAACGGATAGTCCTTTGTGTTCTCAGTCAAATAAATAAATAACCCGAAAATGTGGCCGACAAATAGTACTAAAACTAATACAAGGAGAGCACATGCAACAGCACGAAGTCGAAAAGCAAAAAGGCTTGGCCTCCTTGCTCATCTCGGGTCTCCTGTTTTCTTTATTGACCCTGTTTTCTATTTGAGTCAACGTCACAAAGCCACCGTCTCGCTATAAATTCACGTTTGATAGCATGGAAAGGCAGACGACGACTTCGTATGGTCAAGCCTGCTGCTGTTTGAGGGTGGTGCTGAAGTATCCCGAGGTGGTAACATCGTATCATCTCGTACGGCATACGGACCGGTGCCGAGATCTTTGACCCATGGATGGCGGCTGCCGATCCCAGGACATGAGGGTCCAATGTCACAGTTGTATTTTGTACATCTGTGGCCTTGTTTTGTTCCAAAACCCCGCTCGCGACCTTTACTCCATCAAGAACCATGCTGTCACAGAAGCTCATCATTCTTGACACGTCCATGTTCGTGACAAACATAACGCAACGAGACACGCAACGTCTTGATTTCGAGATTCATTTACTTTGTAATCGTACAAAATCGTAGCCGCAACCATCATCTCATGTTCTGCCCAACGGAAAGGACGCGCGGTCCGACAAATGCTCCGAGCCGGTTGTTGATCCCTTCTGCTGTTGTATTTTCTTCTCAAAACGTCAAAGTCTGGCCGTCTTCATTTATTTCACTTGCAAAAATTGTCTCTTCCAGAAGGCTCATTTTACTCTATCCCGACGTTACCTGCGATTGCCCACACAGTGAACCTCTCTACTTCGTACCTCTTTATTGTCTCCACATTGTGTGCCTGTGGACCCATCTCAATCAATATCGAAAGCCGCCAGGGGCAGCCCGCCCGTCAATAAGAAGCCGCAAAAGGTCCTTGGCATTTTCTTAAAACAGTATTCGCATGTTTCTTTCATTTTTTTTCTTCAATTTCTTTCCATCCCTCCTTCCCCTTTTTGACCCTTTGAAAGTGAGAATACGATTAATGACGCGGATGTCAGAAAAATATGAGCCACGCTTTCCGGGGATATTTTGTGGTTGAACATCTCGCGACCCACCAATGTCGACGAATGCTGGTTTCCATAGTTTACAGTTAGTACGAATGATTCACAAGATGGCCGGCCTCGGTCGAAAGTAAATCGAATTGGCACAGTCCACAATGCACCGGAAAGCGGCCACAATATGTTTTGCGTTGGCCTCCAAGTTTACCATGAAAATGGGCAACATTTCCAACCGGCACTTCCAGCCACCTGCCCCTGTATTGGCCTTCTAGAAAACCTGGAGCCGGCCGGATATGACATACAAGGCGACCCTAGCCACGAAATGCATGGAGCGCACGGCAAACAATGGATAAAAAAAGCCAGAAGGCGGGGGGACAGCCGCAATGCCGAGCCCGAGCACCGGCTCTCGTCCCATCTACCGCTTGTCTCTCGTCCAATTGTTTCCTGTGCTGTCGTTTTTCATCTTCTTTTGTCGTATTCATCTCCGCTCTCTCCCCTCCTCCCCCTCCCTTTGGGCCGTCCACTCACCCGGATTGGGGTGCAGCATCTGCCACGTTTTCCCGCCCGTGGTGGTGCCGTTGCTTTGCCGTGTTCTGCCCCGTGTCTGTTCTGCTTTTGGAAGACACTGGCGACGAGAAGAGTGAAGCGAGAATTGACGTGGGAGAATGCTGCGCGAAATATGCAGAAAAGGCGGACTGCACCGTCTTGAAGAACGCACAAGACACGCAGACAGTATATAACGTGCGGTCAGGATCCCCCCCCCCGGCCAATTGCGCTCTTTTGTTTTATTTTCTCCTCCGCCACGGCGTCTTTTCAACGTACGCAGCCACCCACCATCTCGAACTCGCTTTTAATTTGCCCTCTGCCCGTCTCCCCGCTGCGCCATGCCTCCCTCCCTGTACATAACTCGTGAGCAGGGAGAGGGATACCCTTGTCTCCAGGTCGTGGTTCGCTTGCTTTGCCACGGGTCTCCTTTCTTTGATGCAACCCATACAGTTGAGCCTGCCACTGGCCGCATTTCTCTAAAGTGACATGTATTATTATTTTCTTCTTTTTCTTTTCATTTTGTTCTCTTATAAATCTTTGATCACTGCCATGCCTCTTCGTTATATATCGTGCAGAGAGGGGCCACATGGCGCTGTGCCTTTTTATTCGCGGGCTCCCTTCTTATAAGTGCAGAATCTGGCATCGGCTCGTAATCCCGTCAAAGACGCACGTGTTGTCGATTGGCACGTACTGCTTCGTAATAATCTTAATCATCTCCTGCGCCACCATGCCTCCCGTCAGAGCCGACACGTTGTGCAGCTCACTGCCGCCCGTCCGGGCCAGCTCCTCGGCAATCTTGGCCACTCGTTCGTACTGGCTGGCCCCCGGGACAAGCCCGTCAATGCCCTTGAGGATGGTCTCCGCGGAGGACGAGGGCGCGTGCGCCGTCGCCTGCAGGGCCAAGTAGATCGGTACCAACGACAACGGCGCCATTGTGATCTCGACGTTTTCGTCGTTGGCCATTTCGTCTTCTGCACCGTGTTAGCCGTATGGCAAGAGAATGACAACGCGTGCATCAGTGCAACAGGGCCTGTACACTACGTACCAAACAGTTTGACCAGGCGGTTCTCGCCGGGAGGGGTCGCATTGATCAGCTTGACAAACGCAGCGTTCTTGCAGAAGAGATCAACCTCACCCGGATCAATGTCCTTGCCGCCGGGAGCGGCCTGTACCGTCGCTAGCACTTCGGCTGCGTCTTTGCGGGCCTTGGTCTTGTAAATTGTCTGCAGCTTCACGTACACTTGGGACGCCGCCTTCATATCGGGGACCTTGCCGGACAGCGGCAGCGCCTGGTGCTTCTCATAGAACTGCTTGACGGCGTTGGCGATAATCCAGAAACCAGACTTCAGCTCCTACTGTGTGTCAGTACTCAACCAATACCGGACAAGCATCGCATCAGGACGGACGGGCCGCATACAAATCCTTTTGGCTCGTACTCAAACACTTCCCGGAGACCGGACGGTACCGATGGCCGGTCAATGTTCCGCAGAACGGCGGCCACAGCCTCGTCAAAATTCTCCTCGCCACCTTCCGGGTTGTCTTTCCGCGCAGCATCTGCGACGGTCTGCCGGAAAGCCGTCTTCTCTTTGTATGTCGATGGGTTCGCGCCACCATGGGCCTCGCGCCAGCGCTCCAGGTAATATAACAGAATGGCAATGTACGGAAGATGGCCATGCTCATGAGCCCCCAGGTCGTCGATGTGACCCGTCAGCTCACGAGCAAACTCGGTCAGCTCCGGCCACGGTGCCAAGAGGCGGAGATCTGTGGCTGCCGTTTCGTCCGGGTGTGTGTCGACAATGGGAAAGGCGCCGGGCAACCGGACGCGGAAGTATGAGTAAAAGCCCGCCGAGTGGACCGACACGAGGGGTGTCTTGTGTTCCTCGCCATACTTGTCGAGGAGGTCAAGGGTGTCCTGCTGGACAGGGTGGGCGTAGAGGATCATGGTGAATGTCGGGGACGTCTCGAGCAGTTTTGCCAGGTCGAGGCTTGCCTGAGACAGTCAGTTTGCATCCAAAACAGCCGGTACAATTCCTACACATGTCCCAAATCTCCTCCGACATACCTGTGGTTTTGGGTGCCATTCACCCTGGACTTCCGGGTTGAGCTCCTGCAGCAGTTCCGTGCAGCTCTGGGCCCGCGACTTGCCTAGGCTGGCCTCGTCAAGGAAGAAGTTGACGCCCAGATCGGCCTCCTCAACCACCGCCTCGTCGTAGATTGTAAACCGGCCGATTCCTGTCTTGTCAGTTTCCAAATCCGCCAACCATGTCGCCATGTCGTGCGTACTCCACTCCACGCACACGCGACATACCTGGCAGAATGAGGTTCTTCAACGCCTCGACGACCACGGTGCCGCCACCCGCGTTCAGCACGAGAATGTTGGCCGACTCCAGTGCCGCCTGGCCACTGGCTGCCCACAACCGAAGCTGCCGGTCATATTTCCGCTCTTTTTCGGACGGACCGTGTAGGATGGGAGGCGTCTGGCTTGCCACGATTTCGGTCATTTCGGTGCCGGCGGGGAACAACCGCAGGTTCCTGAGGCACGCGCCGTAGATGGGATGACGGATGTGGTGGTTGGCGAGATTGTGTATCGATGGCCGTGGATTGTGTGAGCAGATGCAGTTGAATTAGATCGTCGCGTGCTCGCTCTTGCCGTCTGTCAGTTGCTTCAGCTGTCTGAATGGCTACATTCGTAATACGGCAGGAGCATCACAGCCTGGAGGGGTATAGTATTAGTGGGTGCGATAGGTAGGAGCTCAGCGCCTTTGGGGGGTCCACTGCCGCCGCTGATTGGTCAACGTGGATCCAAGCATGGAAGCGAAAGGCGGTCGCCATGCTCCTTATCGATAAGCGCCTTCCTGCCGTCTGCGATAAGATAGTCCAGAATTTTTTGAGATCGCCCAGAGGACTGAAGCCGCCCGATGCGGTAGGCACAAATTTTCTGCCAGGGCGCTCTTACTCTCGATTTTTCCGCTGCCATTTGACGCCTCTTCTTACACCGAAACCGGCATCACGACCCACGATCCTCGTCAAGTGATGCGGCAAGATGGAAGACCAAGCCCATAAGCCCCATCGAAAGTCGAAGGAGAAGAAGAAGCACTCCGGTGGGTAGTTTTTCCGTTCACTTCACTTCACGCGCCGGCGCCTCGCTTCCGACGACAGACATACTGATCTTCTCCAGGACCCAATCCCAAGGCCTTTGCTTTTTCGAATCCAGGCAGGCTTCAAAGAAGTGCCGCCCGGTCCCACGATGTGAGTCCATCGAGATGTTCAGAGTACATTGGCATGTTTGGTTTTGCTGGGTGTGTTGTGTGCTAACGCTTTCCTCCTCTTCAGATCAAAGAAAAGCGCCTCCACGTCCCCCTCGTCGACCGTCTTCCCGATGAACCACCACCGCGCCTCGTCACCATTGTCGGCCCGTCCGGCGTGGGCAAGACGACTCTCATGCGCTCCTTGATCCGCCGCTATGCCAAAGAAACCATCACCGACCCGCAGGGCCCCGTGACCGTCGTCACGTCCAAGAAGCAGCGCCTGACCTTCCTTGAGTGCCCCAACGAGCTTGAGGCCATGGTCGACGTGGCCAAGGTCGCCGACATTGTCCTGCTGATGATCGACGGCAACTACGGCTTCGAGATGGAGACGCTCGAGTTCCTCAATGTGCTGGCCGCCACCGGTATGCCCGGCAACGTCTTTGGCGTTCTCACCCACCTCGACCTGTTCCGCAAGCCGCAGGCTCTCAAGGACGCCAAGAAGCGCTTGAAACACCGCTTGTGGAACGAGCTGTACCAGGGCGCGCATCTCTTTTACCTGTCAGGTGTCATCAACGGCCGCTACCCGGACCGCGAAGTCCACAACCTGTCGCGCTTCCTGTCTGTCATGAAGAACCCGCGGCCGCTCATCTGGCGCAATTCCCACCCCTACGCCGTCATCGACAGCTTCCGCGACGTCACCCACCCCACCAAGATCGAGGAGGACGAGCTGTGCGACCGCTCCATCGCCTTTACCGGCTATTTGCGCGGCACCAACTTTGCCGCCCAGGGCCAGCGCGTGCACATTCCCGGTCTGGGTGACTTTACCGTGGCCAAGATGGAGGCCCTGCCCGACCCGTGCCCAACGCCGGCCATGGAGCAGGCCGCGGCCAAAGCGACCGGCAAGACGGGCCGGCGGCGTCTTGACGAAAAGGACCGCAAGCTGTACGCGCCCATGTCGGACCGCAGCGGCCTCAAGATTGATGGCGATGCTGTGTACATCTACCGCGAGAACGGGTTCACGTTCGACAAGGACGCTGTCGGCGTGGAGCGGAACGAGGGCGAGGAGATGATTATCGGTCTGCAGGGCGAGCGCAAGCTGCTGGGTGAGACGGAGGAAGGTGTGCAGCTGTTCTCCAAGGGCCGTCGGATCGTTGCCGAGGAACTCAACTCGGGCCGGAAACAGCAGCGAAATGCGCGCGTGCCAGGCGCGGTCGAGGGCGAGGGCGAAGACGAAGAGTACGGCGATGACGGCTCGTCTGACGGGGAGGGTGCTTTTGCCAACGGCGAATACGGCGAGGAGGACGAAGACGAAGACGACGACGACGACGACGACGAATTCGATGAGAGCGAGTTCGACGAGACGAAGCTCGGCAAGATGTTCCGTAACAAGGGCGACCGCAATGGCGACAACGACGAGAACGGCGAGACGCTCGAGTTTGCGGACAGTGACTCCGACCTGGGCTCACTGGACGGCGACGAGGGCAACGGCTTTGACGACGACGAGGACGCAGCAATACGGTGGAAGGACAATATGCTGGAGCGGGCACGGAATCTGCACAAGCGGAAACGGCCGTTCCAGGTAAAGGACTTGGCACGGATGCTGTACGACACCTCCATCTCGCTCAGTACGGTCGCCAAGCGCTGGCGGGGCGAAGAGGAGGACGAGGAGGAAGCCGAGGACAATATTGAGGAGGAGGACGATTTCTTCAAGAAGACGGAGGATGCCAACAAGGCCGAAGACGAAGCCGAAGACCGGTCTCTCCCCGCGGCCGACAATGACGAGCTCAAGTCCCGTTGGACGCCGGATGCCATTGAAGCGCTGCGGTCGCGATTCACGTCCGTCAAGTCCAAGAAGAGCGGTGGGGGCGACGATGACGAGAGTGGCTTTGACGACGAAGAGGGCGACGAGGATGAGGATGAGGACGAGAGCGCATTCGGCAGCGACGCCGAGGGCGGCTCGGACAGCGAGGGCGACGGCGACTTTGAGGATCTCGAGACGGGCGAGAAACACGGCCCCCGGAAAGACAAGGACGACACGGCAGGGGCACCGGAGAGCTTTGAGGAGGAGCGCGACAAGAACGCACGGCGCAAGCAAGAACTGCGGCTGCGGTTCGAGGAGGAAGACCGTGAAGGTTTGAACAATGCCAAGGCGCAGGCACGGAAAGAGGCCGGCACAACGGCAGACGAGTTTGGCGAAGACGACTGGTACGACGCGCAAAAGTCGCTTATCCAGAAGCAGCTCGACATCAACAAGGCCGAGTACGAGGAGCTGGACGAGCGGCAGCGCGTGGCCGTCGAGGGCTTCCGTGCGGGCCAGTACGGCCGCATGGTGCTCGAGGGCGTGCCGGCCGAGTTTGTGCGCATGTTCCAGGCGCGCATGCCGCTGATCATGGGCGGCCTGACCGCGACAGAAGACCGCTTCGGCTTCCTGCAGGTGCGCATCAAGCGCCACCGCTGGCACAAGCGCATCCTCAAGACCAACGACCCGCTCATCTTCTCGCTGGGCTGGCGGCGGTTCCAGACGATGCCCATCTACAGCATCTCGGACTCGCGCACGCGCAACCGCATGCTCAAGTACACGCCCGAGCACATGCACTGCTTCGCGCAGTTCTACGGCCCGTTTGTGGCGCCCAACACGGGCTTTGTGTGCTTCAAGAACTTCTCGGCGGCGGCGCCCATCAACCAGCAGGGCCTGCGCATCGCCGCGACGGGCAGCGTGCTGAGCGTGGACGAGTCGACGGAGATTGTCAAGAAGCTCAAGCTGACGGGCGCGCCGTACAAGATCTTCAAGAACACGGCCTTCATCAAGGACATGTTCAACTCGGCGCTCGAGATTGCCAAGTTTGAGGGCGCGGCCATCAAAACAGTGTCGGGCATCCGCGGCCAGATCAAGCACGCGCTCAAGCAGGAGGGCGCGTTCCGTGCGACGTTTGAAGACAAGATTCTGCTCAGCGACATTGTGTTCTTGCGCGCGTGGTTCCCGATCAAGCCGCACCGCTTCTACAACCCGGCCAACAACTTTATCGGGTGGCAGCCGATGCGCCTGACGGGCGAGATCCGGCGCGACGCGGACATTGCCACGCCGCAGCAGCGCAACAGCCAGTACCGCGAGGTCGTGCGCCAGGAGCGGCACTTCAACACGCTCAAGGTGCCGCGCCAGCTGGCGGCGTCGCTGCCCTTCAAGTCGCAGATTGTGCAGACCAAGAAGCAGAAGAAGACGACGTACATGCAGAAGCGCGCGGTGGTGGTCGGCGGCGAGGAGCGCAAGGTGCGCAACCTGCTGCAGAACCTCACGACGATCCGGCGCGATGTCACGCAGAAGCGGGCGGCCAAGAAGGAGGAGAAGCGCGCCGAGCATCGCCAGAAGGTGGCGGATGCCGAGGCGAAGCGGGCGGAGCGTGAGAAGCGCGAGACGAAAGAGTTTTGGAGCCGCGAGGGCAAGAAGCGGCACATGCAGACGGAGGGCGGCGGTGGCGGCAAGCGTCGGCGTGGTTAACGGGTAAAGAGGATGTGGCTCAGCCAGGTCAACAGCATATTCCCAGTTGGAATAGTCGGCAGCGTGACATTCCTGTACAGTATTTATTCACATTTTGTTTTTCTTGCATAGTCATTTCGGCTCTTGCGGGAGTTTATTCATATTATCAAAAAATAGATGGCATATTCACCACATTATATCGTACACCTTGGCCAAGTAAATGCCAAAAAAGGTAAGAGAAAAAGTAAAAGAAAACCCACCCAACTCCTGTCATGGAGCCGCCATGCGCATCTTCATGACTGTCAACTCTGAACTCCGTGCCCACGAGCCGTCTGGTGTCTGTCGATAGCACAGAAGCTTGCCGTCGTCGCCTACGCTGCCCAGGATCTGGCCATCGTCGTCAAAGGACACACGCCACACGGGTGTCCGGTGGTTTTCCAGCTTGGACAGTTCGCGCACCGTGTGCCGCACCTGCCCAGCCTCGCCCGTCCAGTGGCGGTCGCCAGCTGCTATGCCGCCGCCGTGTGTCGAGGCGTCTGGGATGGGCGGCAGTCCCGAGAACGACGTCGCCGTTGAACTGATTGCGCTGCTGTTCCCGTGCGGGTCGAGCAGCGTGCCACCCGTCTCGTCCGAGGCGCCTGCGTCGGGGACCAGGTCGCGTGTCGTGGAGGACAGCGACGACGCCACAGAGGCGGGCGTCGACAACGAGCTGGGCCCGGCGGGTGTTGTGGAGCCCGACGCCGCCGCCGCTGCCGTGATCAGGCCGCCCGACGACGACCCGGGCTTGCCGTCGCGCTTCCGCCGTGCGTTGACGCTGTTGGAGCCACCGCCGGCCCCGTCGCCGGTCTTCACTACAATGTCGTGCGCCGCCCACGTCTTGCCGTCCTCGTTGGCTGAGAAGGGCGTGTCGAGGCGCACAACACGCACATAGCCGTCTTGGCACGCCGTCGCAATAATGTCGTATCCCCGGAAGTTGCCTGGGGCCCACGCAATGTCGCGCACCAGCCCGCGGTGGCCCTTGACCTCGGCGGCAAGGTAAAATGCGCGGCCCATACCCTGCAAGCCGTAGGACGTCGTCGTGATGGGCCGTGTTCGGTAGATCTTGACCGCGTCCATGGCCGCCACCACAAGGCTCAGCGAGTCGGCGCGCACGCCCGCCCGCAGCGCCGTAAAGCACGGCTCCGGATTCGGGTCGAACTGCACCCGGAAGCTCGCCTCCTCGCCGCGGGCTGGCTTCGGACAGACGCGCAGCTCGTCGACGTTGGCGTAGTCGGAGAGGTTCTCGGGCACCTCGTTTTCCAGGACGGTCAGCGTGCCGTCGGCCGCGAGCAGAGCCAAGTACGTGTGCCGCGTCTCGTCGTTGTGCTTCATAGAAAACGACCGGTACGGCGACCGAGGCGACCGTGTCTCAAAAGCGGCCTTGGCATTACCTTTGGCACGCTGGCTGAAGCGCCGGCCGGGCGCCGCTGCTGGGTCCTCGGTCCACAGCTTGAAGCGGCCCTCGATGCCCATAGACGCCAGCAGGTTGGGATAGATGGTTGGCGGCAGCCATTGGAGCTGCATTTTTTTTTAAAAAAAAATTGTTGTTAGACTATGCTTCTGAAGCCCGATGCAAAAACGCCGTTTCCGATCACGAAACTTACGTCCAGAATCTCGCCGCCGTGGGCGCCCCAGTTGTCGCACAGCCGCCACATGCCGTCGCGGTGGCGGTTGAACACGCGGATCTTGCCGTCAACGGAGCCCGTCGCGCAGCGGTCGCCATAGGCATTGAATGCGACCGCCTGGACGAGGTCCTGGTGGCCGTGTTTCATGATAATCTCGAACCGCGCCTGGTCGTCGAGCACCGGCGGCTCGCCCTGCGGCGCGGGCATGATGTCGGTTTCCGGGCGGCAGACAGAGCAGCCAATACAAAAAGAAAAACAACGAAAAGAACAGAGGGACAACGTACGTAGGCGCGGCCGCGGCTGTGCTGGGTGAGGGAGGTGACGTCGTCTGGCGGTGATGCGATTTGGTGTGAATGCATGAGATGCGGTCATCCGATCAACCAAGCTGCAAGCTCCTTCCTGCTGTGCATCACGGGGCGTTAGCGGCTGCAGCTTCGGCAGGCGCTAGTGGGGCACTGCGCTAATGTCGCGCCGCTGTGCTGCTGCAGCTGTGACTGGTGTGGTCGTGCGACAGCAGTGTGGTAGAGCAGTGTGGTAGCGCCTGCAAAACAGTGCTGCCATGCGCCGCATTTCTCCAACGCCTGCTCTTGGCTCCTCATAGGTCTATTTAGCCTTGCTGCATTTGCTCCTTCCGGCAACCTGGAGGCCGCTCCTTCCCCTTTCAATGGGAGAATGGCTATCGCAGCATGGGCCTTCTGTTTGTGGCAACTCTTGATTCTCGTTGGCAGTTGCCCCTTTTGTCCGTATCTATTCCTTTTGCCACAAAGCGCTGACGCCGTTGCATCTCCCGTTGAATGTGCGGCCTGTTGGCCAATTTGTATCGTCAGTATCACGCAATGTCGCGAATGTCGGTCTACTACTGAAAGGTTGGGCCACCAGATGGGAGATCGAGGTCAGGCTAACCTAGCAAACTGTGGCCAAAACACCACCAAAACAAGGCCCGCTTAGACAGAATCGCGACAGCCCAAACGTACAGCCTCGTCCGAAAGAAGAAGTCGCGCCTCACACACAACTGCTCTTTCCCACCCCTTTTCCCTTGTGTCACGCTCCTTCTCTCCTTAGGCTGTGAAGTCCTGGCTATCCCGTGCCCGTCGCTTCCTTCCTTGAACTTGCATTTGGGCGTCGTTTGCCTCAAGACGCAACTTCCCCTCCATTGCATGTTCTCTCACCTTACCCGCGCCTTCTCCACCATCTGCCAGGGGTCCTTCCACCTCCACTCACTCCTTCCCCTGGACACTGTTCCATATTGATTGTTTCTTTTCATTCCCCTTTTTGTCGATTGTCGACGCCCCTCCTTTCCATCGTCTCCTCCCGTTCCCTTTATATCCTACGGCCTCGTTCTTTGCCTCGCGTCCACGACAGCTTCCACGCATCCCCCCCGGTCGTCGACAATGTCCTCGCTCGAGGCCAAGATCGTCGTCGTGGGCTCCCAGGGCGTCGGCAAGACGTCGCTTGTGACGCGTTTTTGCAAAGGACAGTTCGACCCATCACAGGTCACGTCGACTGTCGGCGCCAGTTTTCTCACAAAGCGCGTCGTCGACTCGGACTCGGATACGGTTGTCCGTCTGCAAATATGGGACACAGGTCGGTGCTGCATGTTGGGATTTTTTTTTTAAAAAAAAATTGTTTACTTTATGCATGACGCGTTTTTCCCGTTTTGTTCTGAAATATGAAATATGAAAACTTACATGCTCTTCCTAGCCGGCCAGGAACGCTTTCGCTCCATCTCCCGCCTCTACTACCGCGGCGCCAACGCCTGCATCCTCTGCTATAGCATCACCGACGCCAACTCCTTTGCCGAAATGGGCATCTGGCTGACGGAGTTACGCCGTAACCTTCCCTCCGACATTGTTCTCCACGTTGTCGGCACAAAGGCCGACATTGTCGCCAGCGACCCGTCCAAACGCGAGGTGCCTTTTGAACGCTGCATCGCCTATGTTGCCGAGAACCTTGCCCCCGGGATGAGCAGCACACCACCACCTACCGCTGGCGGGCTTGTCAGCAGCATGCTGACAGGCAATACAGGCGGCTTCCCCGGGCTGGCACCTGGAGCGGGTGGCTTTGCTGGTGCTGCATCTGGTGCCGGTGCCTCGTCGAGCGTTCCAACACCAAATCCAACTCCCTTTTCCCCGCCCGAACCTCGCAGTCCGAGTTCGAAACGCAGCTCGGGCTTCTGGGGCCAGGAAGCTGGCTGGGACGCGTGCCACGAGATATCCGCGGAGAGTGGTGAGGGCGTCGAGGAGGTGTTTCGCGTCGTCACGCGCAAGCTCGTCGAGCAGAACCGCAAGATGCAGCAAGCCTTGCTGGCCGCAGCGTCAACCCCAGGTGGCCCTCCGTCCATGACTGGTGACGGCAGCTACGGATCTGCCAGCGGCGGCGAGAGCAGTCACGGCTACGGCTATGGTGGGGGCTACTTTGATAGTAACAACCCGCGCGGAAGCTTCCGAGTGGGACGCGACCGCCGTAGCTGGTTGTTTGCCCCGGGATTCTCGCCGGAGGTGTCCATAGACCCGAATGGCACCAATGCCCCCGGTGAGCCGCCACGAAACGACAGCGCACTGCAACGGCACAAATGTTGTTGATTCTCCCAATGTGTCATCTGGATATTTTCTTTTCGTCTGTTCACCTTCCTCGTTACAGTCCGGGCCCAGCTCCCTGTGTGTAATATTTTGGCTGCCAGCTGCGTGACCTGTTTGCATCTTCGTCGTCCTGGGAAGTCTCGCGGCCCGTGTATGGTATGTTATCTCTTCTTTTTTCGGGCTTAATTTATTGTTCCTTGCATTTCCCATCGGTTGTCTGCGTTGCGTGTTTCATAATTCTGCATTTCTCGCATTTGCCTCTCGTCATATTTTTGGATCACGATCATCATTGGTTTATGGATAACGGTTTGCATACGGAGCTGTATTGGGTCTCCTACGAGTGTACAGTTACTGGGCGATATTTGGTTTGTTTTCTTTCCCATTTTTATCAATTCATCTTTTTCCAACGCCGTTTTTGCTATCCATTTGTTGCCCGCATGTCTTATTCCGTCTGCCAATCTCAAGGGATGCATGCCGATCCGTATGCGACACGCGTGGTACAACATCACGCGCACCCCTCACACGGCCACACAAGATTGCATCTGAACCTGAAAAGCCGCCACGTTGTACCCGACAGCCGAAGTATCTTTCCGATTTTGAAAACGAATTCGACAGTACAGCCAAGTGGGCACCTTGTTACAAATCGATACCGACTTTTTACTTTTCTCGACTCGCTTCTAGCTGCGGGTTGTCATAAAATGCAGATACTTTAAAACACCACAGAGCACCATACAATGGTCGGAATAACAGAAAACTACTTTGAGGAAAGTTTGTATCCGTTTCGTCTTGTTGATTCTCTGACTGGACTTCGCGCTGGTGATTCTAAAACGCGTAGTCGATAAAGGCTTATCTTATCTAATCGCTGCGCACCCCACCTAAAAAAACAGTATTTGCCCCTCCGAACCGGCGAAATTTACTGTAATATTCTGACGTTGCCAGATTTTATAGCGCCCGTCCATTGCCTATTCGAGTCGTGTTAGACCTCTTGACAATAAAAAAAAAAAACTATCGCGACGAACACCGACACAACAATTATTTTCATATCTCGGATTTTTGATCGACTACCCACGACCAGTCCACCTCTTCAATATCCATAATGACGGCCGCAGCTGACCAGTCCGAGGCCCTGGCCGCGGCCGATGCGACTGTCCTTTCCCTACGCAAGTCTCTTTGCGACGAGACGACCCCCCTTCCCATACGCTTCCGAGCCCTCTTCTCCCTTAAGCATCTGGCCAAGCAGGCCACGGAAGGTACTGGTGACCGCGGTATCGACCTGCCTGCTGCCAAGGCTGCCATCGACGCCATCGCCGCTGGATTCACGTCTCCCTCGGCACTTCTCAAACACGAGCTCGCCTACTGTCTTGGCCAAACGGGCAATGCTACCGCTGCCGCGCCGCCCTTGCGCGATGTCCTTGCCGACGTGAACGAAGACGCCATGTGCCGCCATGAGGCCGCCGAGGCCCTTGGTGCCCTTGGCAACGCCGCCGACCTTGAGCTGCTCCGGCAGTACCGCGATCGTGAGGGCGAAGAGGTTGTCGTGCGCGAGACCTGCGAGATTGCCATCGACCGCATCGAGTGGGCCAACTCGACCCAGCGCGCCCAGGAGCACCTGCGCCCGAGTGACTTTGCGTCTGTCGACCCGGCGCCGCCGATGGCGCAGAACGCCGCCGACAAAGAGGCCGCCGCACAGACCGTCGAGGTCCTGGAGAAGGACCTGATGGACATCACGCTGCCGCTGTTCCGCCGCTACCGCGCCATGTTCACCCTGCGCGACCTGGCTTCACCGCCCGACCTGCCGACGGCCGTGCCGGCTGTCCAGGCCCTGGCCAAGGGCTTCGCAGACACCTCGGCGCTCTTCCGCCACGAAATCGCCTTTGTGTTCGGCCAGCTGTCGCACCCGGCGTCGATCCCTGCCCTGACCGCCGCGCTGAGCAATGTCAACGAGGCCAGCATGGTGCGCCACGAGGCGGCCGAGGCACTAGGCAGTCTGGGCGACGAGGAGGGCGTCGAAGATACTCTGAAGCTGTTCTTGCACGACAAGGAGAAGGTCGTGCGCGAGAGCGTCATTGTGGCCCTAGATATGGCCGAGTTTGAGCAAGGCGGCGAGGCCGAGTACGCGCTGATCCCCGAGGCCGCGCCGGCCGCGGCGACTGCTGCGTAAGAGAAGAGCTTGCAGTCAATTTTCTATGGTCATGTCTCTGTCTTTTGTGTATTCTTCTGAATTTCACAGCAAAATGGAGGGATAACAGTTTTGGAGATATCATAATCTGTAGCGTCTGCATCTGATTTTCTAATGGAGTTTCTATTGTCATCGTTACATTCTTTTGTTCTATCTATTAATACAATCGTGGGTAAAATGGGTATCATTAAATAAGGCTTTCCAACAGGGTGCTCCGCAAAGGGAAGCGCGGAGAGGGACGACATGACGAAACGAATCCGCGCGTATGTCGCGTCCGTGTCTTCTCGTCCAGACCCCCCACTCAGTTGTTCTGCGACCATCGGAAGCCACAGTCACAACGGAAGAACACCGTCGAACCTTCGTCGGCACCACGGATCTGCGCAGTCGTAAAGCGCACTTCGGTGCGACCGCACTTGGGGCACGTCTCGTTCGTCGTGGCCTCGCCGTTGACCTTGTGCTTCTCCACGACCTGAACCGAAGACAATTTCTGGCGCAGCGGTGAGGGGAAGTCCTTGGGTTTGGACTCGGTCAAGATCGTCTTCGCGACAGAGGTGTCTAGTACAGCGAGTCAGTGACAGAGTCCCTCATACAAGATTGTCATCGCACGAATGTCCTATTTTCGCCTCGAGAACATCGTACCTCTGTTTTCGGCACCACAGCAGCGGCACACGAGCAGGTTGCGGTTGGACCCCGTGGACAGGGGCAGTATGTTACCACAGTCGGTGCAGAACACCAGCGATCCTATGGAAGCCATTGGGATTGATGGGCATATGAAAACGTGTTAAGAACTCGGTAGGATAGTGCTTAGAGTAGAGGAGATCCGGTTCGTGGTTATCGTCGAGTTCGCTGTTGCGTCCGTGAAGCAGAAGCTCGGAAACGAAACTCTTCAGTGAGATGCTTGACCTCGAAATGCCAACTTTTTTTCTGCCGTATCTAAATTTTATACACCGTATTACCACATGCTCTTTCCGCCTTTTCACCAAAAGGTTAGTCTCCACAAATTTGGGTAGCATCGATTATGCACGGGCCACTCTGCCGCAGCTGCACAGTGGTGATCCACACGAGGCCCACTATTGGCTGGCTCCTGCCTTTCCAACCCCATGCCGCGCAGTGAGAGTCTAGCGCGCTCATTCGCTGGAACAGCCCCTTCCACCCCCAACTTTGGCCCATGCTCGGCCCCGTCTGTACACTACAGTTCACAGCAACTCCCGGAGTTGTTTCTCGGTTTCCTCCCTTTGACAATCCACCAGCCAGCAATCCTGCCTCTGCCATCGGAGCATCGAGAATCGCACCTCACTGACCGGGAAAGACGTTGCTTGACTTTACACGACATTCCTCTGGTTGGCATACGCTCCTTTACCCTCCTCCGACAGGCCGCGACGGTTTGCTCTTTCCTGTTTCACCAAATTGTTGCGCCGGCAAACAGGACGACCTTTGCTCCTTCCTTCGACGCCGGCAGCCTCCTTCCATCAACGTTTGTCCGTAACGCGGCCATTGAGGACGCTGGGCCAAGCGAACGCCGCGCCCCCGTCGCCCTTTCCCTCCTCGGCCGCCGACGCCTTCCATCCTACCACACCATATAGTCGCACCTGCCATGCGCGGCGGGCTGCGCAGTCGCTCCTGCCATGGCCGACCCCAGGATCCTGCTCGGCGAGCATCATGAGCCTCAACAGAATGGATTTCAAAACGGCAGCGGGGGCATCGACCCCAGCATGTTGCTTCTCAATCCCAACCCTCCACTTCCCCAGCTACCCAAGGCCGAACCGCTCGCCATCTCCATCTCCGCCGCCTCGTCATCGTCGGCCAACACTATCTCGCCGTCGGCCCTTCACCACACACCAGTACCCGCACTCCCGCCGCCGCCGTCGTCCTCCGGCCCGCAAAAGTTCATGCGCCCCTTTGCCTTTGGGGAAGCGCTCCCATATTCGCCTTTCACCTCCATCTCACCTTTGGAAACGCGTGCGTCTCCCCCGTCCCTTTGCTTACACTCTCTTTACGGACGTTTCATTGACTAGTTTTGTGCAGGCATCATTCCGATCCCCACCCTGGCAGCGAAGGCGGCTTCTAACGAACTGTCACAGCTTGTCTCGCAGCAAGAGTTCAATACGTTGAACAACAATGCGTTTGGTCAGGCTGCTTCTTTAACAGGACGCAGCGTGGACGACCTGCACCAGCTCCTAGCCAACAGCAGGGTACCTCAGTTGTATGTCTCGGCTGCTCCCTCTTTCTCGTCGGTGTCCCTTCACTGCTTGAGATCATCCCCTTTCTAACACATTGCAGCAACTTCAAGCCGTTACCTCAAGCAAGCGGAGGCGATTCGAACGGCGCGGCGCCGGCGGACCTGTCGACACCGAACCCTGCATCGAACTTGAAGCCCATTACGAAGGCCGTGTTTGAGAAAGCCAACATCCCCTTCCGCTACCCGAGCCCAGAGTCTCCGAGCAAGCCGCCGCCCACCAACGGCAGCACCCCCCAGGCATCCACAACTCCCAACACCAAGTCTACTCCGACCAAAAAGTCGGGCACGTCGTCAAAAGCAAAGGAGAGTGCTGTCGGTAACGGCAACATCGCCACCAGCAACGGCGTGGCGGGCGACACTACTTCACTCAATGCACAGGCGCACTCGCAAAATAGTATGGCCAAGATTGAGATTAGCATTCCTTCACTTCCACCATCGTATGCCGCGGACGCCATTGTTGTTGACGACAGCCCCATCAACACTACGCCGCCGACAAATGGGCTGGATGCCCCAGTGAAGACCGAAAATATCACGGACGGTCCACATTCGGTACCAAAAGAGACTCCCGTGCCCATCCCGGTTCCGAAAAACGAGACCCCAATAAAGCCCCCCATCACAGGACAAGATACCAAGGGCTCAATATCGATTGAGCTTGTAGCTGCGCCCAATTTCAACCCGCAAGACTATCAGGTTGTTGCGGACCTCCCTGACGACAACGCACAGGACTTCTTTAGCGACTTAGACCAGCGTCAAAGAGCAGAAGCCGCCTTCCAGGAGCTCCTACGTCTTTTCCAGGACATTTTCGAAGCTGAGATGAATGTGAACAAGCAGCCTGGAAACGCCCCGCTTATCTCCTTGACTGCAGATGATGAGCCAACGCTTACCGACCATGCCTTGAGAAAAGCGCAGGGCACGATGCAAAAGGCCATCACATTGGGCTGCTTTGCAGACATACCCATCGATGATCTTCTACACTTGCAGCGCCTCTGTGACGGCGCCTTACGTCATTCTCTCAGCCTCGATCTCAAGCTCAGCACGGAAGCGACCGAGTCTGAAGTCGACGAATGGGTCACCCTGCTGCGTTTTGCCGATACGGGCCTCCGAGCCGCTCGCCTGTCTCTCAAGATTATGTCCGGTGGCCGCGAAGACAAACAGTTGTACTCTGAGAATGTCATCCAGTCGGCCGTCGACCTGTTCAAGGTTGTCATGGACAATGCCGTGGTGCCGATTGCAGAGCTGCGCAGCTCTGGTCCCCTGGAGCGGCGGTTCAAGCAGCTGTCGTCGTACAAGAAGGCCATCTCGCCTCTCTTCATGGCTGCACAGCGTCTGTTCTCTGGCATGACGACACTTGTTCAGGCGATCGACTTGTCTGAGCTGGTCATCAACTCGCTCGAGTTCTGCGCTTCGCACCTTATCTTTGTCGAAAACGCGCACACCGAGCGCGACTCCGTCCTGGGTGTTCAGGCCTTTGACGGCCTGCGCCTAGCGGCCATGGATATGCTGTCGCAGATATTTGTCAAGAAGCCCATGCAACGCCGTGGTATCTTTGACGATATCCTCACTTCCCTCGAGAAGCTACCTGTTGGAAAGCTGAGTGCCAGACAGTTTAAGCTTGCAGACGGCAAGAGCATCCAGCCAGTATCGGCCCTCATCATGCGCCTTGTGCAAGCCAGTGCTGGGCGCGTGGCTGAGAAGGAAAAGTCGTCGTCTGGCATCGTCGACGAAGTTATGGAAGACGGCGAAAAAAGCGAGAATGAAGCCGAGGAGTCCAACCAAGCGCCCAGTGCTCCCGTGGCTACCATCGCCTCGGAAGAGCAAGGCGCTTATGAACACGAACTTTCGATTGCCGAGCTGACGGACGCCGCATCGCCCCTGAACAGCACGGCGTACGTACACGCCAAGTACGTTATCAAATTCATCGTTGAACGGGCGCAGATGTCGTCCAAGTCAGCCGACACCCCATACCGCAACCTCTTAGACCTGTTTGTCGAGGACTTCACAGCATGTCTCGAGACCCCTGACTGGCCGTCTGCAGAGCTTCTTCTTCGTCTTCTGATGATGGCCATGTTCAAGCTCACAGAAAACGACAAGGTCCCAGCACCTGTGAAAAACATGGCCCTGGAAGAGCTTGGTGTCATCGGAGCGGCTCTTGCAAAGTTGCGGTCAACAATCCACCAGTCTGCAAACTCGCCGGAGAATACGGGTCCTGACGAGCTGGACCGCTTGTTGTCGGACCTGGCTGGGGCAGCACTAGGCGACAACCCCCCAGCGGAAGAGTTTCTGGCTTGGAAGGGACCCTTCTCCCCCGCCTTGGAATACCTCGAGGACCGGAGTTCGCAAGACCCTCACTTGCGGGGCGCCATTTCTTATACTGTGGCGGACTGGGCTGCTCGGGTCTGCCGTCTGTACTCCACACGTGCCGAGGCTGCAGCCGCAGCTGCCGCTGCGGCCGCGGCCGCTAGCGACGAGGGCGAGGGCAATGACAGCATCAAGGCGCGGGACAACCGCGTGCTAGAGCGACAAAATAGAGACCTTGGCAGAATCGCCTACCGACTCCGTGTCATGATCGAAGACAACCGTGGAGTGGCCGGCAACCGGGCCTTCAAGGGTGTTACCGCGGCGCAGGCAAAGCTCTCCTATGCCATTGTTGCTCTGAGATCGCCACTAGGCGGCTCCTTCAACGATATCATCAACATCCTAGCAATGGGTATGGGCAGCGACCAGGCCACCGTCCGCAGCAAGAGTTTGAAGAGTATCACAGAAGTTCTTGAGACGGACCCGTCAATTTTCGACAACCCAGCGTCGATTGTCGGTCGTCTCATCCGCGAATGCTGCGCCGACTCGTCGGTGCAAGTACGAGACTCTGCACTGGGTTTGGTCAGCCGCGCTATCATCCTGCGGCCAAATCTGGAGTCTACTATGATCAAGACCGTCATCGATCGTTTCCTGGACTCTGGTGTCGGTGTCCGCAAACGTGCCATCAAGATTGCGCGAGACGTCTATTTGCGGAACCATTCCAAGGAAATCCGCAGTGACATTGCGAACGGCTTGCTTCACCGCATTCAGGATCCTGACGAGGGCGTCCGGGACTTGGCACGGCAGACGATCGAAGAAGTCTGGGTGACGCCTTTTGCAGAGACGGTGGCCGCCAGCGCGGCCGGTACGGAGACCACTGCCGAAAAGTCATCGTTGACTGAGCATGTCATTCTGATTCTGCAAACGGTGAAAAACGGGTCGATCACCCCCATCCTTGACAGAGTCTTTCAAACCATCCTGTCGCCCACGGCCAAGGCGGCGACGGCGAACTTTGATGTCTGCAAACGTTTTGTCGCAATCATGTGCGACCTTGCCGACAACCCCGACAGTGACGATCCATCTATACCATCTGGAAACGAGGCACTCCAACTGATGATGATCTTTGCCAAAGCAGACCCGCGGCTCTTTACCTTTGAGCAGATCCGCCTCTTGAAGTCGCACATTGTCAATGTGAAGAACGTCAAGACTGCTCAAGACATGGCGACAGCCCGCGCTGTCGTCGTCATCTACAGCCGTGTCCTGCCACAACTGTCAAGCGTGATGAAGCCGTTCTTGGAGGAGATTAGAAGTAACCTGCTACCGAGCGTTGTCGCGGTCAGCAGAACACTCCTGGACGACGTGATGGGGTGTATATGGGTGGTCAGTGTCCTTCTGAAAGACCCAAAACCGCTCGTGCGTGTTGTCATTTCAGCCATCCGCGGCGTAGTCAATCAAGAAAAGATGACGGACAACGACTCGGACTTTGACAAGAAGGCGAAGAGATTCCTGCGCTACGCTCTGATTGTTGGCATGGCGGGTAAGCATTGCGATTTCGACAGCGAGATCGAGACCTTCCGGGCGCAGTTTCCGTCGTACAACTTCTCCTCCGTGTCGAAGCTCATGGTTGATACGCTCTGCCCGATTTCTATCCCGCCATGGCCCCTCGCTATCCGGCGCATCGCCCTGGACGCAATGGGTCTGATTTGCCAGTCATGGCCGCGCAACTTTGTGGAGAAGAACGTCTATACATCGTTCCACATTGCATTCAAGCAGCAAGACCCCAGCCTGGAGGTCAAAATCATGCAATCATTAAAGGAGTTCCTCACAAAGGAGGAACTGCGGTCCGAGACAGGATCTGATCCCAAGGCGCAGAAGGCTGCACGCAACGATGTTGGGAAGTCGGCCCGTGTCGGCGAGGGTGCTGGTAAGAAGAGACAGCTCACCGTCATGGGCGGCACAAACCACGATGATGTTGCAAGCGCGACGACACAGCGGTTTATGGGTGACATTACACGCATTGCGCTTGGCTCGGTCAGCGAAGAAGCATATTTGGCTGCCGAGATACTTGCCAGCATTAGCCGGCAAGGTCTCGTGCATCCCAAGGAGACAGGCGTGACAATGATCACCTTGGAGACATCGACAATGCCGAAGATGGCCGAACTGGCGTATCGGGAGCACCGTGCACTGCACAACAAGTACGAGACGGTGTTGGAGCGTGAATACGTCAAAGCCGTGCAGACTGTGTTCCAGTACCAACGAGATGTAATCAACGACACCCGCGGCGCCACGACGGAACCGTTCACATCCAAGCTGCACCATCTGATGGACGTCGTCAAAGACAGCAAGTCCAAGAACCGCGGCCGGATGCTGGAGAAGATGTGTGGCCAAGTCGACTTTGAACCGAACAAGCTGGACGTGTCTGAGGAGACACCGCACCACCTGGAGTTTTCTCGCTTCGTTATTGAAAATATGGCGTTTTTCGAATTTGTCACCGTGGCCGAACTCCAGTCGCTCGTCTCAACCATGGAAAGGATCGTCCACACAACAGGTGTCACCATCTCACAAACTATTGAGACGGACATTTTCGATCCGTCTGGTGGTCAAAAGGAGACGCCTGTCGTCCCTGACGGCGCCGAGGGTGGCGAGACGTCAGAACCGGTACCAACTGGGCCTGCCCTCCGTCCTGGCCTCGCTCCCCGCCGCCTGAAGCAGATTGCCACCGGGTGCATGGTGCTGCTCTGCCTTTGGGAGGCTCGTACGTTCCTGTGCCGGCAGTACGGCCTCAAGCGCGAAGGCAACAAGGCCAAGGGCGCCGGGCGCGACTCGACGCGTGCTCCGACCAAGGTCCAAGGCATAACGGCCGACAAGTTTTGGGAGGAGATGAGCTCTATTATGAAGGGACTCGACTCCGAGGCGCTCATGGCCGCCCGCTGCAAGGCCTTTGTGGAGCTGCTGACGGTCGACTCCGACTTTAAGCTCGAAGAAGACGACGGCAACGGCATGGACGACGACGACCCGGCGACGCCCAGTGGCGGCGAAGACGACGGTGGCCGCGAGCGCGGCCGGAAGCGCAAGGGCGGCAACACACCGGGCGGACGCAAGAAGCGGCAGCGGTCGAGCTCACAGCAGCCCCGCAAGAGAGGCCGGCCAAGGAAGAGCGCCGGTCTCGACGAGGATGGCGACGGCGAATTTGATTTCTAACGAGGAGAAGCGAAAAACAATGTGTTTTATCGAATAGAATCGGATGCCCGGGCTAGACAAAGTGGAGGATCAAAAAAAGATTCCATGTTAGAAGGGTGTGTGCATATGGGATGCATACCTGGGGCTGGCATTTGCTGTTTCTTATTGTTCTATGTTTTATTATTTGTTTTTATTTTACTTTCTGTCTTTTTATCGTTTATTCACGCGTGCATGCACGGCGCGGCCTCAAGGACGAGGACCCGGTCAAGGACGACTGGTGTTTTATTGCGTGAGTCTTTTTTCTTTGATCTTTTTCATTCTACATTCGAGGTTCTGTCATATTCTTGTATGTTTGGTAACCCATATTCGGGACGGTAGTGCTTCGAGCCTACCAACCTTTGTACCAAAAACAACAAAGGGGCTGGTTTGATTTGATACAAAACAATTGACAGAACACGATACTCCTCAACCGGGACATTGTAGTCAAAATATCTCAAGCAATTACAGAGTACGACATGCAGTGTTTCAAATATCATGGTAGGGAGAAGCTTTTGTCAGGTGGCGTAACGACGTGATAGTATTAAAAGCAGGACAAAGTAAAGTGCCACTGCTGTGTTTCTTCCAAGAAACAAAGGATGCCTGATAAAAGGTGACCAATAACCGATAACCAATAACCAGACTACCAATAATCTCAAAATACCAAATAGTAAATCGGAACAAAAAAAGAGAGACGTCGCAAATGGGGTATACAGAAAATGCCCCAAACCAGAGAAGCGATGTGCTTTGCTCTAATTTATTTTCTCCGTTTTGTCCGTTCCGAGGACGAAAAATACCGAAAACATATGCAAAGGAGCCAAAAACAATTAACGCCGGGTATGAATGCCGTCCTGGTCCGCCAACCCAAATGGGCAGGTCTATCTGTACACGTCCTCTTTCGCCTTTCATATGCATTGTATCTGAAAACATAGTCTCCAAATCATTAAAGCAGGAAGCAGTCGACGCTTGTGCGTCGAGCCATATTCCTGTCGTCGTATTATCATTCGGTAGCCCACATGTACCCTTGATCGTGCCAAGACAAAAAATCAACAGCAACACGAGGGGAGCCACGTCGTCGTTCTCTTAAACCGCCAGTGTTGATGTGTGAAGGTGGTCGGTGGTAAGACCCAGGTCATCGTCGTTCTGCTTCTGCGCGTCCGCCGGAGCCTCGTCAAAGGCAGCATCAGGGCGCGGCGTCTGCGGCTCCCGGTCGGAGTCGTCAATCGACGACGTCGTGGGCTCAGAAGCATTGGGAATGGAGGATAGGGCCTCGGCATCGTCGACCGTGTTCGTCTTCTCCGCGACAGTCGTGTCAGCGGCAGACTCATAAGCAGACGTGGTCACAGAGGACTCGTTCTCCACGGCGTTGACAGGAACGGCAAGAGCAACAGGCGTGCGCTTCATAGCCGACTCCGCCAACCCAGCAACTGGCTTCGTATTCGCGACGTCGGGTGACTCGGCGCGGACATCAGACGTCACGCTGCTCTGAAACGAGCTGCGCAAGGGGCTGCCGATGGCAGAGAGGTCGCCATACTCGCTCTTGCTAGCTCTCGACGTCCGGGCGGGGCTTCGCAGCGGCAGGGGCGGCGCAACGCGCTTGGGGATGTTCACGAGTGCGCCCTTGGCTTGGATGACCTGGGCGACCTGCGTGGCCATCTGTGCGGGTGCAACACGAACCGGCCGCACAGTAGTCGACGCGACTTCGAAAATAACTGGCTCCTCCTCCATGTCGTCATCGTCCAAGTCGTCGTCGCCATCGTCGAAATCAGCGGCATCGTCCAGCGTTTCGTTGCCGCCGTCGTCGCCAAAGCCGTCAGTCTCCTCGTCCTCGTCGTCAGCATCCTCGTTCCGCTCATCCTCCACAAAGTGACTGGTCGCCGGGGTCGCGGCACCATCAGACAGCTGCTCGTCAGTTTCGATACCGCGGTCGACCTTGAGGTACTTTGAATTCGTTGTGTCTGCGGCGGAGTCGGTCATAACAGCATCAGGAACAGGAACTGGACGGTGCCTTGGCGGCAGAGCCGGCGGGGCATTGGACATGGCCAGTCCGGTCGAGTGCTCCTCAGGCGCGGCGAGCCGCTCGACGGGTTGCTCGACGGGTTGCTCGACGGGTTGCTCGACGGGTTGCTCGACGGGTGTGGCATGCACAGACAGTTCTGGGACGGGGGAGGGGACATTCCTTGCCAAGCTGTTGCGGATGTTGTCGTGGTTCGCTTGAGCATCTTTGCCGTCGTCGGAGTGGGTGGGACTGAGAGAGGTGTCTGGGGTTCCGGTGACGTCGTTCGTCTGTGTACAAGCATCAGTCATTGATGTAGCTTGTGTACGGGTGGACATGTAGCTTGTCCGGTTGTTGCCGTGCTCCAGGGCGGCGACATCGGCGCTCTGGCGGCTGAAACGAGAAGCAAACATAGGACTGGTGGGACTTGCGTTGTTGTTGTAATCAAACTGATGGCTTGAAGGCCGGTGTTTGGAACCGGCTTCACGAATCTCCAAGCCGGCCATCTCCAGGGCAATGATGCCAAAGGGGTCTGGGTCGGCGGCGTCGGGTATGCCAAACGTGGCGGAGTTCGGGGAGGACGGGGTCAGGATACCCGGGGTGTCGGCAATATCGGCGTCGCCCGGAGCCGGCTGCTGCGACAGACGGTCCATAGTGGCCGTGTCAAAGTCAATTCGACCCTCGGCGGCCTTGATGGCCTCGAAGAGCGGGAGGATTTCGGGGATGGATTTGCGGACATTGCCCGCGAGAATGTCAAGGATGTCAATAGGCTGCGAGCCATTGCCGGCGCCGTCTTCGGAGTAGAAGCGCTCGTTCTCGTTGGATCGCTCCGTGACGAGGGAGCCGGCGAGCTGCGCCGGGCTGTGGCGTCCGCGTGCCTTGAGGTACGTTAACACAGTATTTCCGAGCTCATGGTTCAACCGCACATCGTTTTCCAACAAGCCCATCGTGACGAGCGGCCCAACAGTCAGTGGGATGTCGGTGCCCAGGGTGAGGCGTGGCCGCGTAAACAGCTCTAGCGCGGCGACGCTATTGATGACCAAGACACAGTCGTAGATATCGACGCCCATCATGAAGGCGACCGTCGAAGTGTGCAAGAGAATGCCCGACGGCGGCGACCAGGTGCCGTCGGCCTTGCGGGCGATGAGAATGCCAGAGCCGCCCGAGCCGGACATCCAGAGACCCGAGCGCATGCAGGAGAAAATGGCGAGGCCCACGGCCTCTTGGATGATGCGAGGTGGAATCTTCCTCTTGGCGGGCGTCAGGCCACTCGTGGGCGACATGGGCGGCGCATCGCCCGAACGCCTTGGCGGTAAGCGCGGGGATGTGAGGCTGTTCATGCTTGCACGATTTGTCGGGCTGGCTGGTGCGGCGTCGGCCTCATCGAGAAAACCATCGGCTGGGGATTGTTAGCACTGGGACCGGCGCAAGAAGAGAAGAGCAAGGAAAGAAAGATTGAGCAAGGTTGTAAAATCAAAAAGGGCGCCTCAACAACATACTGCAGAACGACTTGAGGATGCGCGCCGCCTTTTCACACTCGCGATCGAGCGCCGAAGGCCAGTACGCTTCGCGGCCCATCTGGCCGGAGAGCGAAGGCGTGGCGGCAGCATTGGCGATACTGGGCGAGACGGTCAGCGTCTTGTGGCCGCCGATGCGGTCGGCCCAGCTGAACACTTTGGCAAAGCCGCGGCCATTGCGCAGCTGTGTGCTGTTGCTGCTGTTCCGGTTGTTGTTGGCGTTGCTAATGCTGCTGCTGGTGCTGCTGCGGTTGTTGTTAAGGCTGAAGCCGGTGCTGTTGGCGGCTGCGTTTGATGCTGCCGCTGTAGTGTTCCCGCCGGTATTGCTTGTGTTGCCGGGATTGGATGCGCCATCAGCCGCCTTGGCCCTGTCCCAGCTCGGGAGCAAAGAGGAAACGCGCTGCATGGCGGGCAGCAATGCAGCGGGCTGCGTCCTCTTTGCTTTGTCCGGTGGTTGTGCTCTCGGATCTTGGGTAGACCTGACGAAGTGAGCCCGGTTTGCCTGCAGCCGCGGGTGCGTCGGTGGGAGGTTTGCAAACGCTGCTCAAGTAGGTAACAGAACAGGCGACGAAGACGGAGAACGCTCGGCTGGGGACAAGAGACGGTAGAAGAGAAGAACGACACGAGTGGAAAGCGACAGGGTAGAAGGAGGAATAAGAAGGAGGCGGGAGGAAGATGAGGCGGATAAGAAATGAAGAGGAAAGAAGAAAAGGAAACCTGACGATACAATCAGAGAGACACAGGCACCGCAGGAAAAGATAGAATAGAAAAACGAGGAGACAGGGTAGAGCCAAAAAGCAAAGCCCACGCCCAGATGACGGAAGAAAGGTGAGTGAGAAGTGACAGGTGGAGCGCTAGGTTGTCTAGGTTTGAGAAACTTTAGTTTGGTAGGTTGCAGGGATCGCCCAGTAATAAGTGCGTCGAGGCCCTTGAAGCGGCGGCGGCGGAGGCGGCGGCGGATGGACTATAGGGAATGCGAGAGGGTGGGCGGTCTCGGTGCAGCAGGCCACCACAAGGTTGCTCTCCATCTGCAAGTCGATCTTGCCGTACGACGGGTGACGTACTCAGTGCACAGCACTGTATCTTGGTAAATTGCAGCTGCTTTTCTTTTCTCTCTTTCTTTCTCTTCCCCTTGTCTTTATCGACGTTCGTCTCTTTCGACAGTTGCCGAAAGGTTGTGTTTCGTGGGCTCAATGGCGCATTAGAGCTGGTGAGAAGCAAGCGACGATGTGAGAGAGGAGGCAAAGAGGGGGTCGAGCGCGAAGATACCCGGCGACCGAAAAGAGCAGAACACTAGAGACATAACACAGTGCGGAACATATGCATGCTTGCTAATCTCGCGGGCTAGCAAAGAGGTTCCTTTTCTTTGGTCTTTGGGAATTTGGGGGCGCCCCGTATTGTTGCTTTTTCTGTCCGTTTCTGACCTTGGACTCCCCTTCAGCCCAGTCCGCTTTCGCTGAGACTTCTTCGAC